CAAAGAATGAATCTCTAAAGTTTGAGAGCCCAAAGATTCAGATAGAACAGGTGTGCTGTTGACTGGTACTAGCTGTCTTTTCCGTGTCTGATCAGAGAGATGATTAGCCCAGACCCCTTTATGTTTTATGATACCAAGCACAAGACCCTTTGGGGTAGACTTGGACATACTTCTCAAGTTTGGGAATGTTTGAGTGGAACCTTGAACTCAAAGTTATCAATTGGAAGAGTTTTTCTAATGCTTCTTTGATATCCACCTGCCTCCCTGTCCCCTCCTTCTCCCTCCCCCCAGCCATCTACCACCTTCAACCTTTTCTGGGTTCATCCAGTAGCCCATTCTTTTCTTTCTGCTGCCAGATTTTTCCTTTATAGAAGAAATTAAAGTAAAAAACTAAATAGAAAAAATATAGGCAACACTAAATCATACTAAAGTGTTAGTGGCATAATTGTGGTTTTGCAGAAGGTGGATGTGAATGGCACTTACGATTTCAAAGGACTGATCCTCTAATGCTAGAATTTACACAACAGGGTGGCAAAAATGGGAGGAGGTTTGAGGAAGAGGTCTCTTCTCAGAGGTCCCTACGCTCAGCCTTCCAGGGCAGGTCTGTCCTGGTGTGTGGCAGGATGAAGCCTGGCTGCCATCCCTCACCTGCCAACCTGTGCTCCTCAGCCTTGTGTCCACTAGGTCGCAGGTCGGACCCTGTTTGGAGATCGTGCATCCATCCTCGTGGAATAGACCTTTCTCCTCTGAGCTCGGCAGCTCACACACCAGTGACTACTGGAGGAGCCACATCAGGCAAACATGCCCACTATGAACGTGGCTTTCAGTTTTAATCAGAAGACTTGACGGCCATTGTGCAGACAGTTTTGTGATTTGCCTTTAATCCAGTCCATTATTTTTGCAGTATAGGAACTTGAATCAGGGCCTCTTGGGTGCTAGACAGGGACAGTGCCGCCTGAGCGACAGCCCTAGCCATTTTTGCTTTAGTCATTCTCCAGCTAGGATCCCATGCTTGCTGTGTAGGCTGGCCACAGACCTCAGTCCTCCCCCACGGGTGTGGTTCCAGGGATGCCTCACTTGCTCTTTGAGATAGGGTCTTGCTAACTCTCTTGTCCAGCAGGCCTCCAACTACAATCCTCCAGTCTCCAGTTTCCAAAGCTGGGATTGCGGAGATGAGCCACTTCACCCAGCCTCTAACGTGACCTTGTTAGGGATATTTTTGTACTTCTTTTTACATATTTTTGAACTTGTCAGATTTAATGGACATAAAGTACACAAATGAATAAGCACACTGCTGAACGACTCAATGAATTGTCACAATTTGAACACCTGTGTCATCTGCACCCAGATCAAGACACGGTGTGCCGAGTGTCCCAGAAGTGGGCTCATGTGCCTTCAGGTGACCGGTACCCACCTTCTAACCCTAGAGATGAGCTTTGCTTGTTCGGAGCTCCATACAAAAGGAGAGATGCTGTACTCTAGTGTCTGGCTTTCCCTACGCCTTTCTGATTTTGTCACTTATCCATGCTGGTATGTGTGCTCCTATTTTCAGTGTTTTCCTCGCCTTGTAATATTTTGTCCTATGAGTATACCGCACTTTCTTATCTGGTCTCCTGTGAGGTGCTTGGGTGGTTTCCAGTGTGGGGCTGTTTGGAGTAGTGATGCCATGAGCCGTCTTTTGTGGGAGGCTGTACTGGAGGGCGTGAACTCAGGGCCTTGTGCTTGCTAGGCAGGTGCTGTACCATTTCAGCCACACCCCCAGCCCTTTACATTGGTTATTTTTGAGATAGGCCCTTGGCTGGACCTTGAACCATGATCCTCTTGATCTCAGCCTCTCAGGAAGCTAGGATTACAGACCTGAGCCACCACGCCTGGCTTATCTGTGAGCATTGTTGCATGTGTCTTTTGGTGCCTGCATGGACACACTTCTGGCACAGGTTGAGCATCCCTTGTCTGAAAAGCTTGGGCTCAGACACATTTCAGAGTTCAGAGTCTTCTGGATTTTGGAACATTTGCATACACTTTACCAGTTGGGCATTCCTAATTTGAAGATCCAAAGTCCCAAATGCTCTGAAATCCAAGCTAAGCCTTATCTCTCAAAACGTTTTAGATTTTGGATTTGGAGGTTAGGGATGCCGAACCTTACCAACAGCTTTACTATTCCTTAGCTGTTCCTACAGAGATGTGTGTCCTATCTCATGTGGTCTTGTGGGCTTTTTGCCATCAGTTCCCTGGTCATCTGCATGGTGTGTCCTCACTGTCCCTAGCTTGTTTGGGTGGTTACCCAGTTTGCTATCGGGTCATATGTCTTTTCTCTACTGGTTTGTGGGGTCCTTTGATTGGTGGTGGCCACAGTCACTCTGCAGCACTGTAACGGGGGGAGTCACTCACACTGGTTCACAGAGCTGAGGGGGACATCCCTTCCCAACCTTGCTTCTGTGAGGTCACGTAGATGGCTTGGAGTGTTTACACCACAGAAACAGAACTTTCCCCCTTCTTGGAGAACTGGTTGACCAGCACAACACTAGACAAATACATTGAAGTCTTGTCCAGCCTCCAGACTGCCTCTTTACTCTTTAAGGTGTGTTTGAGAAACAGACACTTTTCATCCGAATCTGTCACTCTTATCAAGATTTTCCTTCTATGACTAGAACTTTTGTGTCCTATTTAAGCAATCTTTGCCTCCATCTCTCTGTTTCTTTATATGACTTGTAAGCTTGCCCAGTTTTGTGAACCACAAGGGTTCACACTGCCATGCACGGTTGCAAAGGCTGCTCACGAGGGGAGAAGTGGGGTCTTTGTCTAGCCTTTGCCCCACTCGGTAAGCCACAGCTGGGGCAATAGGACAGGCACCTTTTACTAAATCTCACAAAGGCTCCCTGTGGGCCAGTGGTGGCCCTGGCTGTCTGACACCCTCCACCCAGGAGTGCCAGACTCCACTATCTGCCCTTCCCCTTTATACCTCAGGCCTTCCTGCCTCCATCCCTTTGATCTTCTGGGTCCTCCATCCAAATCAGTGCAGCTTAACCTATCTGAAACTCCCTTCCCAGCCCCTGCCTGCCATCTCCTCACCTGTGATCATCTAAACGTCCTTCCTCTCCACCAGGCTGACCTCCCCCATGGCCAAGGGCACACTGTCCACTCCCTTGTGAGACCCCAAGAAATCAGCATGACCTGGGGGTATTTGGGGCCTGTTTATGATCCTGTTCTGGTGCTCACAGTTCCCATCTTGCCAGGGTCACCTGTTTCCAGCACTCAGGAGCCCCCCCACCCACCCATTTCCTCTGTGCTCTCCCCAGGCGGCCTGCTGGCTTGCTTTTTTAGTAGTTAAATATGCAGCCCCAGTACACATCAGCTATTCTAGCTGCAGAAGTACCAAGTATTTTAGAAGTAATCACTTCATGCAGACTGTGCATAAATCATGTCTGCTCCAGCCCTTTGGACACTAATGTTCCCTTATTAAGGCATAAGTAAGCCTTCCTGTTGTCATCCATCCTTTTGGACTTCTCTTTTTTTTCTTTTCTAATTAAAGTATAGCCTGCTGGTCGCTCCACACACACCACACCCCCCACTCCCGCCCCACTCCTCCTGCCCCCTGCCCTCATTGCTTTTTTGAGGTTTAGTTTATTTTTCTGGAACTGACCAAACTGGCTTAGGAAGCTGGGCACCTTGTGAATGGATTGAGCAAAAGGAAATTCTTATCTGTGAAAGGAAACAGTCGCTGTGTTTCTGTGTGTGACATTCTTGGCCAGTTAATACTTTTGTGAAATGTGTTCTGATGGGCGCCCTGGTACCCTGGAGAGCAGGGAAGTGTTGCTCATGCCTGATACACAAAAGGACAATATCTTCCCCCCAAGACTGGGGAGTGGATAAAAAGTCATTTCTGAGTGTCACTCTGCCTACACAGAGAAACTTCATAGTTTTTTTTCTTTTGGTGGTACTGGAGTTTGAACTCAGGGCCTCATGCTTGCTAGGCAGGCACTCTTACTGCTTCAGCCACTCCACCAACCTTTGTGTGTGTGTGTGTGTGTGTGTGTGTGTGTGTGTGTGTGTGTGTATGGGTATGGGATTGTTTTTGAGCTCTGATCTCTCAAACTATTTGCCCGGGCTGGCTTCGAACTATGATCCTCCTGATCTCTGCCTCCTGAGTAGCTGGGATTACAGGCGTGAGTCCTGGCGCCCACCCATACTTCATGGTTTTTAATGCCTTGAGTCAATGCTCAGCCCACCCTTCCTGCACATCACTTTAACATTTCTCCATTTTCTTTCCAAACAGAAGCTGTAGCTCTTTTATGCAATAATACATGGGGATTTCTGCCTCCAATCTCTCTGGCCCTGCTATTAGTACTCAGTCAGTTTTCATTTTGCTCTGAGATGAGTCTTACAGCGTGGAAAGACGCTATTATTTCCTGCATTTGGTCTAAAAGAGAAGAAAAGGGGGACTTTTAGACAAGGCCGGTAAAAACACTGCCATCTACTTTTAGAGGTGTTTTATGAATATCAATTCCTGTCTAAATAATTACTGTTGAGGGTAGACAGGACTGTAGAGTTTTGAAACTGTAGCAACAACTTATTATTCTCTCTTTGCAACCACAGTGAAGGTGACACATCTCTTGTTTTTCTGCAGACCGGCTGACACCATAATGCACTGTATTGCTTTGTAGGTCCCATTTTTTAATCATGTCTATGGATTGCAGTGGATCCGATGCACTCTGAGGCATTATTTTCCTCAGATGGAGGGAAAGGACATAAAACAGGTGTGCTTTTGGTGTCATTTAGAAATCACAGGCTGGCTGGTAATGGCGTCCTAGCAGGAGGAGAAGGCAGCTGGGTTATGGAGCGTGGTCCTCTGTATATAAAATTACCGACTCAAAGTCATCTGGACTAACATTTGTCATGTATTCTGCAGGAAAACTGGGGGTCTTTCCAACTCTGGGGCTTCAAAACAAAATCTGAAAAAAGTCTCTCCTCTCTCCTTTCTGTTTTCTCTTTGAGGGCAGCTGCCGAAATGGGGTGCGGATTGAACAAGCTAGAAAAGCGTGATGAGAAGCGGCCTGGGAATATTTATTCCACCTTGAAGAGGCCTCAGGTGGAAACCAAGGTAGATGTGTCCTATGAATACCGGTTCCTGGAGTTCACGACCCTCAGTGCCGGTGAGTATGCGCCAGCCATCATGCAGCCCTGTCCCGGGGGGACGGGGGACAACAGCTTGCAGCTGTCCAGACTTTTATATGCAACCTCTCTCTTTATAGCAGCTAGAAGTTAAATTAAAATGGTAACCAAGTGAAGCCATGTGTGAGCCAAGCGAGCCCCTCAGGCAGTCTGAACTTGGCCCATGGGCCGAGCAGTTTGCAGACTGTGTGGGGTTGCATTTCCCATGGAAAAGAAGGTTTGTCTTCTCTCCTGTTGTGAATCCGCCCTCCTCCCAAGTTCACCTGTGCCTCTTCTCCCTTTTATCCCTCTGGCCTTGGCTTTGCCTCACTGGAGCCAGAGGGTTTCGGGGTCACCTTCCTTCCATGCGTTCAAGGTCTGAAGGAACAGGGGATGGCCCTATGGTGACTGGCAAATAATAGTCACGGCTGTCATCCTATCATTCAGTGCATGTGCTGAGCACCTACTGGGTGCAGTTAGGCTGGTGCTGGGGGAAGTCATGGGTATGCCCTGGCTTTCTGGAGCTACTTACTGGGTAGAGACAGAAGACCCAGTTCCCCTGCTGCCACCCCAACGCACACACGCACGGAGCTGAACAGGTTATAATGGGTTTTGGAAGAGGTAAAGGGTGTTCTTCATTCTGGGTTCCAGGAAGTCAGGAGCACAGACCTGGCACTTACACAAAGGCCTCCGAAAACACCTTCCTCCCTAGGCCTCAGGGTGTATCGTAAGCTTCTCTGAACAGGAGCGAGAATGAATGAGAAAAACCCTCCAGTTCGTGGGTTTGATCCTTTCTTGCTTGGGAGAAACAGGCAAGTCACTAAACCTCTGCAGCCTGAAGTGTACTATCTATAAAGCAAGCTCGTGAGTGTCCCTGTCACGGGACAGATGTGAAGATTAGAAAGAGGGAATCTGAGTGAAGTGACAAGCATAGTGTGGCAAGTCATAGTGGCTTCCTCCTCCTCCTCCTCCTCCCCTTTCTCTTCTTGTCCTCCTCCCCTTCCTCCTCTTCTCCTCCTCCTGTTCTTCCTCTTCTCCTCCTCCCCTCCCTCTTGTTCTCTCCTTGACTGCTATTCCTGCTATGACCTAGGCTGATGCTCCACTACTTTTTTGAGTCTTGAGAAAGATGGACAGCTGGGCATCTCTGCAGAGACATTTGTGTTCCCAAGTCACCAAAACCAAGCCCAGCATCTTTTTCATTCAGTTGCTCCTGTGGACCAGTGTCACCACCATCCTCTTACATAGCCAGACCTGACCCCTCGATCATCTGTGCCCATGGCTTCTGCTCACCCACAGTTACCGTTCCATCCCCAAGCCTGTTCAAACCCAGTTCCAAAAACGCTTGTCACCTAGCTAATGTGACATGAAGTTATTTGGAGCTTGTGGTCATCCACTAGCTTGTTTAGTGATTGTTTGGGTGCCTACAATGTGCTGATCATTGAAGGGTAATGAAGGGAAAAACAAGAGCACTTGCAGGAAAAGGGATCCGAGGAAAATACACCCAGAGGTTAGCTACTGATTGTTAGGATGCTGAGATTTGGGGGGAAGTCTTTTTCTCTCTTAGATATTTTTTGCATCTTGGTTATGTTTATCATTAAGAAGAGTAATTTTGCTCATAATGGAGCTCCATGAACACGTGCCATTCTCGGTCCCCCACGGCTTTGTAGTTCCTCATCTGAATCATTTCTCTGACCTCGTTTATTGCCGGCCTCCACACTGCTTCCTGCACTTCCTGGATTGTGTTCTTTTTTCTTTTTTTTTTGGCAGCGCTGAGGTTTGAACTCAGGACTGACTGAGCCACTCTGCCAGCCCTTTTTTGGGATGAGCTTTTGAGGTGGGGGTCTTGCTAACTGTTTGCCTGGGGCTGGCTTCCAACCACTTCCTCCTGAGCTCTGCCAGTACCAGCTCATTGTGCTTTCTTTGACGGCTGTCGGTTTTGCTTTTGAGGGTAAGATGAGCACACACCCCTTTATAAAGAGCCAGGACAGCACTGGCTTCTGTGCTGCTGCGCACCACTCGCTCCTCTGCGCCAAGCCCTCCTGCAGCGCTCCCACCTCTCCCCTCTCTCTCCTGGGCCAGCTCCCCCTGACCTCCTTCTTCTGCCCTGTGTCTCTTGTTTCTTGTGTTCTGCTCTGGCATTGCTCTCCTGGAACTGCAGGCCTCAAGGCATTTGCACTGCCTGTTCCACGGCCTGGGAATTTCCCCAGGGATTCCCCTTGCCTCATCTTTTGTTTTCTTTCTGTGAAACAGGGTCTCGCTATGCAGTCCAGACTGGCCTCAAACTCTCAATCCTCCTACCTCAGCCTCCTGAGTGCTGAGATTACAGGTGAGCACCACCACACCCAGCTTTTTTTCTTATCTTTTTAACTCCCTTCTCTCTGAAGCTTTTCCTGACTACCTGTTTGAAATGTCTCCCTTCCCTGCAGCCCCCACCTCTTTCTCTCTTGATTTCTCATCTAAGTGCTATGTAGTTTGCTTGCTGCTGTTTGCTGTCTGCCCATCTTCATTAAAAAGGTAGGATTCCTTGGCACAAGTGCAGGGGTTGGGTCTGGTTTCTACTGTCCCCTCAGTTCTTAGGACAGTGCCTGACACTTAGTAGATAATCACTGAAGATTTGTTGAATGAATATTCAACATGTATTTTTGCATCCTGCTCTTTTGCAAGTTAACATGGTACAGAGAGGCATGCACCCTGTCATCCATATGCTCTGGAAGTATGATTTAATGGCTATATGTGATTTAATCACTCAGTACACTATAATTTATTTAGCAGTCCCCTTTTATTGGACACTCAAGCTATTTTGGGCTTTGGGCTAGTATAAATAATGTTCTGATAAGCAATGTTGTACATAAATCTTGGTGTACATTTCTGATTATTTCCTCAGGAATTGCCAAGTTGAAGGATGGGAATGTCAGGACTGTTAATAAATTGGCAAACTGGCCCCAGCATCAGACCTGTCTGTGTAACCCACACACCCGATCATGCTGAGCTCTCTGGCAGGTTCCCCTGGGCAACTGAGGTCAAGGTTCAAGGTGGTGCTCACGGCTTTCTGTATCTAGACTTGGCCCTTTGCAGATTCTCCCATGGTTCCCTGGTGGACTGTGTCCGTGGTTGGAGCAATGCCTACACCCCCAGGACACCCCTTTCTTAGCTTCTCACTTCTGCCCGGGCTTCTCCCTCTTACTGCTTGCTGGGGTCTCACCCACTTGGAATCATTCCTTCCTGACATTCATCCCATTTGCACACCTGAGTTTGTCAACACATCCTTACAACACTTTTACTACATCGCATGCTAATCTGTGTTTCCTCTAGGGCAAAGATTAGGCCTTGTTAGTCTTTGTGCTCACCTGCCATGTCTGCGCCCTCCAGCTTTGAGGAGCACATCCTAACTAGTTGGGTCTTTGTAAACCTAGAAGTCTGTGTTAGGCATGCTGCTGGTTTCCAGGCAGCATCCTCAACTGCTCTAATGAGCTCCTTCCCCATTGTTCAAGATTGGCCTAACACTTGCTGAATGGCTACCACGTGCCAAGCACCAGGGTGGGATCTTCTAATTCCTAGTCTCCTTTTTTCCCCTATTTGTTTTCAACTTGATCAAAGCATAATCGCCATACCCTGCACTGCACTGCAGTGTACATGAAGTCTTCAGGCCCAAGACAGCATTGCCACGTCAAAAGGCGGGACGTTCTCATTGTCTGAAAGCTTCCTCCTGCCCCTTGGTCATCCCTGTCTCTCTCAACCCTGTGTGCCAGACAACCATTGATTTGCTTTCTGTCACCAAGTTTATTTTCTATAAATGGAATCCCGCGGTATGGCAGTCTCTGTGGTCTGGTTTTTCTACTCACTCACCTGACTTGTTTGGAATTCATCTTGTTGACTGTGTCCGTCCCTGTTGCATTGCGGAGTGGTATTTCATGGCACAGATACAGTGCTTGCTTGTCCATTCACCTGTGGGTGGACACTCAGGCCATTTCCTTTTCTGGCTATTATAAATTAAGTTGCTATGAATAGTCATCTTTGCGTGGCTTCTTATGTCAGATTACTCTTGCGGCTAGCAGTGAGGTGTTTCTGTACACTCAGTCCTTCCTGCAGATGCTCAGAGAGCCTAAGAAGTTTGCCTAACAATGCAGGGCTAGGAAGTGGCGGGTAGAATTCAAACTTTCACCTCTCGGGCATTGGCGTCCTTGTGTCTTATGAATTGTAAGATGCTAGACAATAGGCATTGACACAAGTTAGAACATTCCAGTTAGATGAGTTATCCTGTAGAAGGGCATAAGGACATTCCTCTGAAATAAGGTTTTGGCATAATCTTATATAACCTTTGGTACTGGGGTTGGAACTTGGCCTTATGTTTGAGCCATGCCCCCAGCTCTTTTTTGCTTCAGTTATTTTTCAAATAGTGTCTCGTGTTTTGTGCCTGGGCTGGCCTCAGACTGGGATCTTGCTACCTGCAGCTTCAGGGATAACAGGTGCATGCCACCACACCCACTTTATTGATTCAGATGGGGTCTCAGTAACTTTTTGCCCAGGCTGGCCTTGAACGGCAGTTCTCCAAATCTCCACCTCCCAAGTAGCTAGGATTACAGGTGTGAGCCACCATACCCAGCCTCACAGGAACTTTTAATTTTGTTTTAAATGTACCTTTAATTCATATGTGTATACAATGTTTGTATCATTTCTTCCTCCTTTCCCCTGCCCCCTCCCTTTCCCCCCCACTCTCTCCCTCTCCCAGGCAGAGATTGTTCTGCCTTTATCTCTAATTTTGTTGAAGAGAGAGTATAAACAATAATAAGAAGGACAAAGGGTTTTGCTAGTTGAGATAAGGATAGCTATACAGGGAGATTCCTCTCATTGCTTCCATGTAGAAATGTGTTACATTCTAAGTTGATTCTTCTCGAACTGACCTTTTCTCTAGTTCCTGGTCCCCTTCTCCTATTGGTCTCTGTTGATTTAAAGTTTCTGCATTAGTTCTTTTGTTTTTTTGGGTGTCTTACCTATCCTCATA